CGCCGTCCTCCGCGCTCCCTGCGGCGGTTTTCCTGTGGCCGCTTCTCCCCTCCAAACCTCTCTTTCCCCAGGTCTCCGCCGCTCCCGCCAACCGGCCCTTGCTGGGTTTTAGCAAACTAAGCGAGACCTAAGCCTTTACATTCTGTTCTGTTTTGTTGGCAATGCCTTTCTTAGAGCTCGAAGGAAACACTCTCCGTGGAGAAATATATTGTCATTGGGCTTTGACTGAGTTTTTTTTTTTTTTAGAGACGAGGTCTCGGTATGTTGCCTGGGCTGGCCTCGAACTCCCGGGCTCAAGCGATCCTCCCTCTTAGGCCTCCCGAAGTGCTGGGATGACAGGCGTGAGGCACCGCGCCCGGCCTGATTGACTTTTTAAAGGGCTTTAATTCTTGTGATGCACAGGGCACGTGAGTTTTTCTCAAAATTAATCGTTAGGCAACTAAGACCCAGTTTCACCCCAACGGAAGGAAGGTGCCTTCTCCAAAACGGATTCTGTTTCAGAAGGAGGGAAAGCCATGAGGTTTACTGTGACAGTGTTTACAAACCTGGAATGAATTTTCGGCGAAATTATGGGAGTTAATGGAGCACAGTCCGAGTGAGTCCTGTTTTTAAGGGGTGTGGTTGCTGAGTTGCTGATCGACACGGAGTTTAATTATCTTCTGGATCACTGATCTGTGATACCGGTTGTTGGTCTACTAGCGTATTACTGTCACACTAACCCTGAAGTGCACGGTTTAAAAGTTGTTCTTTTAAGCAGAGTTCTCCGATCAGACTAGTGGTTTCATAAAAATGGCAAATACAGCCGCAGGTTCAGCCTGACAGGGGAGAGTTTTTCATAGTAATTTCGTGGTTTTTATTTTGCTTACTTCTTTTGGCCTGCCAGTTTCCAGTAGTTCTCCATAGTCCATAAGTGTTATTTAGGTTTAAAAACTAATTATCTCCCATATAGAAGCAGAAATTTTTTCTTGGACTGCTGGTCTTGCTTTATCTGTTTTTTAAATCGTAAGGAGATCTGTTAAACCTACAGACCAGGCCTTTAATGGAAGATTAGAGTGCACAGTTATGGATACTCTAAAGAAACAGACTTCTATTTTTTTCCCCTGTCCTGCCCCAAATCATCTTACTTCGAGAAATACACATCCCATGTAAAACTCCATTATGGTAAGTTCACTTACCCCACATTTTATTTCAGTATAGATAAAATCATGTCCCCATGGATACTTGTGTGTTGTGCCATCTCACTTACAGTAACAGGAAAAATATATAGTGGGCGTAGTAAGAATGGCAGAATTAGGAGGAACCACTACCCTGGAAGTTCCTGTTTAACCAAAGGAGGTATACAGCAATATTCAAATCGTGAAGCTGTGCTGTCTGTTTTGCATGATGGATAAATAGCTCACATTTTTTCATGTAATCTAAATATTTCAGAATTATAGATTGTCAGTGTGCTGTGTTTCATGTAATCTAAATATTTCAGAATTATAGATTGTCAGTGTGCTGTGTTTACCGGTTAGCTGATGATGTTTCTCTGATTTTCATGAGATTTGTAGGATTCGATAACAATAGGGCCTTTTATAATGCCTCCTCAGTGAGTAGCTATGTTGTATGCTATTAATATTAGCAGTCTAAGTAAAAGAAAATATTTTTGCTCTTCATTTGTTCAGAATGCATGCTGACAGGAAGTCTGAAAACAGTACTGCTGAATTATTTATGGGATGCAGCTATCAATATTCAAATGTTTCAGGGTTATTTTAATTATCAGAATAAACTTGCATTTTGGTTTCTTTCTTTTTTTTTTTGAGTTGGAGTCTCACTCTGTCGCCCAGACTGGAGTGCAGTGGTTGCTCCCGGCCACCGCAGCCTCGACCTGCTGGGCTCCAGCGATCCTTCCGCCTCAGCCTTCCAAGTAGCTGGAACTACAAGGCACGCGCTACCACGCCCAGCTAATTTTTGATTTATTGTAGAGATGAGGTCTCGCCAAGTTGCCCAGGTGGGTCTCGAACCCGCGGGCTCAGGCAGTCCACTCACCTCAGCCTCCCAAAGGCGCAGGATTACAGGCTGAGCATTTTAGTTTCTAAACAGCCTAGTATATTGAATCCAAAGTTTGAGGAATCTGTATATCATACAATTTTAGATTTTAAATTAGATAGGCTGTTAGAAATCATCTAGTCTCAAATTGGCATTTTACAGATGTGCAAATTGACAGTAACACTAGAATTAATCTTGTAATAATTTTAAATTTCTTACTTTACATTTTCACTCTAAATTTGAATAAACTTTTAAATTTGAATAATTGTTTATTTTTTGGTTAGCTCTTTTAAAAGAAAGTCTCCCTTGTATGAAAGTTCTATTTTTATAAATGTTTGAGTGTAATAATTCAGTATGAAGAACCCTCTTACTTTTTAAAAGATCCTTGTTATATATGGAAAATAAAAGTACCTTCCTTTGCTAAAGTTGTTTTGGATCTCTTCTCTGTCAGTTGGATTGTACTACTTTGGCGGCTTATATTTCCAGAGAGGGTAATGAAAAAGAAATTAAGCAGAAAATGGGAGAAGAGTTACCAGTGAAAGCCTGGTGTTTCTCTAGTCAGTTTTGGATGTGGGTTCTGTCCGTCTGCTGGGCCTCAACTCTGACTGGGAAAGGTGTGGTTACTGTGTGCCTAGGATGCTGAAACAGCTCTCGAAACTCAGTTATCTCACATGCCATCACCTTGGCTTGGAGTCCCTACTTCTCTCCTCCCTTCTGTCCTGAATTTGCCTGCCTTCAAAATTTGCTCAGGGTTCACCACCTACATCGAAACTTTTTAATCTGTTTCATTATTCCTCACTTCTTAAAATAACAATATATTAAAAAATTGCACTAGGGGTTGTTTAAAATGCAGATTTCTGTACCTTTCTCCCAGAGATTCTGATCCATTAGATAAATGAGTAGCATTGCATTTAAGTGAAGAGTGGTCCCCAAAGATTTAAGTCTTGATCTTTAAAAACATATATACTTTTTATTTCTCCAAGATTGCTGTCTCAGCTCTTTTGCAATTCCTTTTTAAGGGCATGTTATAATACAAAAGAGAGACTGGAATAGTATAGCTTCAAGTAGTTACTTGAAGAGTTTTTAGTATATATTTTATGGTGTTGCAAAATAGAAAATGTTATGGCATTTCTCTAGGGATTAAGTAACTTGAGATCCATTGGCCAGGTATTGTGCTCACATTATTTATTGGAGTCTTTTTGTAGCCAGAATTGGGAAAAATAAGTAAGAAATAAGGAGCATCAGATGTTAAGAACATTTGACAAATAATTGAAAATAAAAAATACAGTATTTCTTTAAAATTTATGTTTGCATATATTTTCAGAAATAAAGATGCTTTTTATTTTATTTTTATTAAGATGGATATGGGATCTCACTACGTTGCCTAGGCTGGTCTCAAACTCCTGGCCTCAAGTGATTCTTCCGCCTTGGCCTCCCAAAGGGCTGGGGTTATAGGCGTGAGTCACCACACCTGGCCAAAATTCTTAATTTTTAAATAATTTGGCAGATAGGTCTAAGTATATACTTTGTTTCTTTGTTTGCGTTGGAGTCTTACTCTGTCACCTGGGCTGGAGTGCAGTGGCAGGCTCACAGCCACGTCAGCCTCAACCTGATGGACTCAGATGATCCTTCCACTTCAGCCTACCAAGTAGTTGGAACTATAGGTGTGTGCCACCACACCCAGCTAATTTTTTGATTTATTGTAGAGACGAGATTTTGCCATGTTGCCCAGGCTGGTTTCAAACCTGTGGGCTCAGGCATTCCTCTCGCCTCTGCTGGGATTATAGGCATGGGCCACTGCACCCGGCTATACTTGATTTAATAATTACA